ACCAAAGAATTTGTCGCCAATAGTCAATTACATTTTTGAAAATTATACATTTAGCGACTAATCTTTTAGTCGCCAATAGTGAATTATTTTTTTTTTTAATTTATACATTTGCCGACTAAGCTTTTCGCCGCCAATAGTCAATCTTTTGGTGACCACTGTTTTTAGTCGCCAAAAGCATATTTCAGAAAAAAAAAAATTACCCTCTGCTGTTCCTAAGATTTGAACCACCGACCCATCCCACATTCCAAACCTTTATCAACACTCTCCCCCACTATGCCACTACAACATTACATGAATATAATTGCAACATATATTATTTATATATTACTTTGACCGGTATTTATACAAAACTATATATATAAAAATAATTAATTTTATTCAATATAATTTATGTAAAAAATAAATTATTTACTAAAAAAAAAATTAGATCACTTTTGGCGACTAAATCTATTTTTTAGTCGCCAATTGTATAGTTTTGGCTACTAATTAGTTTTTAGTCGCTAAAAAAATTCATTCCCACCTAAAAAAACCAGTTTTGGCGACTAAACCTGTTTTTAGTCGCAAAAAACGTCCCCTTTTGGCTACTAAACTAAATTTTAGTCGCCAATTGACTATTTTTAGCTACTAATTTTTTTTATAGCCAAAAAGCTTCACTTTCAGCGACCAAACTGTTTTTAGTCGCCAAAACACGTAGAATCGGCGACCAAACTATTTTTTAGTCGCCAAAACCTATACTTTTGGCTACTAAATTATTTTAGTCGCCAAAAACTGTCACTTTTGGCTACTAAAAAACCTTTAGTCGCTAAAACCCCTATATTCGGCGACTAAACTGACTTTTAGTCGCTAAAACCCTTATATTCGGCGACTAAACTCTTTTAGTCGGCAAAAGTGATCAATTTTGGCGACTAATTCCATTTTAGTCGTCAATTCTACTACTTTCAGCGATGAAAAATTCAGTTTTAGTCGCGAAATCTGCTTTTTGTTATAGTGGGCCATAGGTATGAAGCAGAGAGAGTTTGTTAAATAAAGCATTGAAGACAAACCCTGAAGAAAGCGAAGGAGATTCTAGAGAAAATTGGCTAAGGAATCAAAGAATTGGTTGACTTAAGAGAAAATTAACGAACTCAAGGGGTTTAATTTAATTTCATATAATTCAAGTGAAGGAGAGTCTTAAAATTCAGAGAATGAGTTAAGTGGTGATATGGGTAATTTTTAACTATCCAATTTGTCAAGGTTGGATCTCTATTTTTTTGTATGGGATGTGCAATGAACATAGAAATGTTCAAAAACAGAATACACAGATGTAAAATAAAAAATATTTACATCTATAATTATGAACATATGCGTCATAATTATACATTCTGGAAGCTTTCTCTATTTTTAAACTTTTCTTTTTTGTAATGGCGAGGAGATAATGGATTGTATTGGCTCCACCAACCCATCCTACCAAGCCTCCATGTTGAGGAGAGAGAAAGATTGAATGGTTTAATTGACTTTTAAATTGACGTGATCTCGAAGGAAAGACCAGAAAGATTCTGAACACGATTGCTAACACTTGCAAAACGATAAGTTTTGAATTAAATGATCAAATCAAGTTCTTGCGATGATCATTCTAGAAATTATTTAATCAAATACTGTTGTTTATGTACAAGCATACTCATCAATCATTGAATTATTTGCACCATGAATTCTTCATCAATTTCGGAGATTCAACAAATTAAATGATACTCACCTTATATTTTAATCATAAGTATTTATTAATAATAATTTACATGTAATTTTTCAAACTTCACAATTGCCTATCTAATTATTTAAGTCTTAGTCTGATATAGAATAAGCATTAATGTTATCGCTCGACTCTTTCCCCCACGGTCATAATCGTTTGCCATGTCATACCAAGTAATATTGGTTTTTATTCATTATTATTATTATTATTATTATTATTATTATTATTATTATTTTTGGGCTAAATACAAATGTTGCGAATTGACTTGATCATCAAATTCTAGCCACTTGATTATTGCAACTTTTTCTCCAATAGATTGGAGTCACATGCAACAATGTTACATATTTAAAATGGATAGATCAAAATTTTTTTTATGGACATTTTTCTAAGTATTTTGCTAAACAAAGTTATTAACATATTTAAATAAAGTCTTGTGTCCCACTTAATTGAGTTCAGTTACATAAATTTTTTTTTGCCATCTTAATATGTCAAAATTTATATGTTTTAAATTCTGAATGTTTAAAAAATCAACTCGTCTCCTGTCCTTAGTTGTGGACAGGACAATCTAGTTGCGTTCATAAGGTCTATTGCAGGTCCTATTTCAATAATTTAATTTATTCATTGTATCATCAGAAATCAATAATAAACCGATATATCTTTTAAGGAAATATTAATAAAATATCCCTCTCCAACTTTGGATAGTAGGAGAGGTTCAATATATTTTTTTCTTATTAGTTAAGGTCTTTCAATAATATTATTAGAGAAGTTTCAACTCATTACAGATAAATTTCTTTGTGAAGAACTAAAATTTCTAAATGACGAACTAATTTCTTTGTCTTTGTGAAAAAAAGAAATTTCTCTTTGACGAGTTAGAGATTTCTCTATAAAAATATTGAGAGATCACAACTACAAAAATTTTCTATATCCTTTATTTTTTCTAATATTAAAGACCTTAAACTAAAAATTACATCCTTTAATCAGAGCCATAGTAGATCCTTTAACAAATAGATAAACAGATATATCCTGTAACAAATAAATAAACAGATATATCCTTTAACAAATAAATAAATATATATATTTCGTGTTGATCATCAGATTCATACTTCTTGTCCAACTTTATTTTTTGAGAAAAAAATAAGAAAAAATAATATGGGCATGATTATAGTGAATTTGATTTTTTTTTAAATTTATTTATTATTTATGAATGATTTCCACATTAAATTTATAAAATGATGAATAAATTGAATCATCATAATCCCATGCTGCCCCATGGGTAGGGTTGCAAAGAGTCGAGTCGAACCGAACTTTTAAGTGTTCAGACTTATTTATTAAAAATTAATCAAGCTTGAACTCGAGCCGCGCTCAAGTTGAACTTAAATAATTGAGCTCGCTCGATTATATAAATGAGTAAACTTCGAGCTTAACATTGAGCTTAAAAAAAACATTTAATTTAAACTAATTTACTTATTCAGGTAAAAAACAGAAAACTAGGAGCAAAATATACAAAAATACTTATGTTAATATTAAATTTCATCAATTAAATATGTAAATTTACACAAATACCAAATATAAATAGAAAAATAAAATTATTTATTGAAAATTTATTTAATATATTATTAAAATTAAATATTAATTAATTAATTTTTTTTTTTAATGTTCACGAGGTTTATTGAGCCAAGCTTGGGACAACTCGAGCTCTACTTGATTGATAAACAAATCTAAAAATCAAACTCAAACTTATTCATTTAATAAACGAGCCGAACTTAAATGAACTATTTATGAACAATTCGGTTCGTTGACAGCTCTATCCATGGGCCATTTATTTGTTTATTTATTTATTTTTTTTGGTCACACATTATAAATTAGCAGGTTACAACACAAAACATATTAAATTCATTTTCATAAAATTTGAACACGCAAACTCACACTAAAAAATAGAGGGGAACTTGGCGATAAGTTTCATATACAAAGTTCAAAATCTATCTAATTTTAAAACAAAATATTTGCACCAATTATTCCTATATATTTTAAATTGTTATTAAAAAATCCTAATTTATTATAAAAAAAAAATTAAAGATGCTCTTACATCCCACTACCGTCGGACTTCCATCAAACGGTTATCTGAGACTCACTAGAATATTTAACATCACCGAAAAATTGTCGGGATATCATCGAAAATTTACTGGAGTATCGCTGAAATGTTCTGAACGTAATCGGCAGTCGTCGGAATATCTAGAATATTCGCTGGACGTCAAGAATATCGTTGCAGACTCACCAGGATGTCTAGAATATTGCTGAAAAAAGAAAAATAATAAATTGAGAAATTAAAGTTAAAAAAATAGCACAATGTGCTAAATATTGATAAACTGAAAAATGAAAAAAAAAAAACCTAAGAACAACAAATAGCAACAATAAAAAACACACAGGTTATTTTCAATATTTGTAGGGTTTATGCAAATAATTTTTAATATTGATTAAACTGAAAAGTAAGTTTTGAAACTATAAAATATTAAAGTTTCAAATTATGATTTTATTAAATATTTATCCTTATATATCAAACTGAAAAACATGTTATATACAGTTCTAAAGAAAGTTATGAAACTGTAAAATTTTGCAGTTCTAAAGAATGATTTAATTTAGTACCAAAAAAACTAAAACTGTAAAATTTTACAGTTTCCACCGCCTGTAATTAAAATTCAAAAATTTGTTCAGAACTTGAAAATTTTCTCTATTATAACAAGAAAATAGAAGTGTATAGTAAAAAAAAATATTAAAACTAAGAGATCAAAAGAAAGCGATAGATATAGAGAGATGTTTGTACTCTGATAACTATTTTTTGATTTAGATCTTGCCGGATCTAACGATATACATCAGATTTGAGTAGATTTACTTATCTTTTTTGTCGAAAACTCATTTTTTTTGCCGTCGATTAGTACGGAGTAAGAAAGTAAGGAATTGGTACTCGGTAGTTGCTCGTAAACCTCAATCAATGAAGATTTCCAGTCAGCAATCGCGGATAACTGTAAATTAAAAAAAAAAAAAAAAAAAAAGGCGTGGACCGAAGACCTCCGAACTCTTTATTATTATTATTTTCTCTATATACACGTAAATGTACAATCTTGAATACCATGAACTTTCAAATGTATGACAGTTGCATGAACTGACCATAAATGGGACCTCTCCAAGAGAGATTGTCAAAGAAAAAGCACTACTTCTATTGCTACTAATTACAATGACTCATATATGGAAATCCAAGCTACCAAACAACAATATAACTTCATCAAAACAGCCAAATGAGAGCTACCCATCACCTTCCAAAACCCACACCCCCACGACTTTTTCAGTTGGCCTTTTTCTCTTCCCCTCGTAGATTCTCTAGTACCTTTCATTGCATTCAATTTGAATATATTGAAATATAGATACATATACACCATCTCTCTCTCTCTCTCTCTCTCCCTCTCCCTCTCTCTACTTCATCTATAATAACAACCTCTCTCCTCCTCCATTAACATAACAACCATAAATCAAAGCTCATCATCTCTCCCTTGCTTCCCAATTGTTGTTTATGTCTTTCTCTGCTTTAAGATCAATGGAGCAATATTCTCAGTATTTGATGTGGATGAATAAGAGCAAACGCATCCTTAATGTGCATTTTCAAGATCAATTCAACAGTTCTTGGGAAGAACAAGCATTCATGGATGACGCCGTGGGGCCTCTAGGGGGATTTGCATGGCCTCCAAGGTCTTATTCTTGCAGCTTTTGCAAAAGAGAATTCAGGTCTGCTCAAGCCCTAGGAGGTCACATGAATGTTCATAGGAGGGATAGAGCTAGGCTTAAGCAGCAATCTCTCACTCCACAAAATGAAGTTCTTCATCATCCTCAAAATTGTAAATCATTGGATATTGCTTCATACCCATCTCAGGTTTGCTTCACAGATTCCAATAATACTAACCCTAGTTCTGTTTCACCTTCTAGGGTTTCAGTTTCAGCCATGTCCAACCAAGAGAATTTTAGTGAACATACCTATATGTCTCCTTTTTGTTCTGCAACTGTTTCCGAAGACCGGCTTGGTCGCCGTTTTAATGATTCGGATTCAAAAACCGCGTTCGGAAAGAATGCAAGGAAAGAAGATTTTACGATTCTTAATGATTCGGATTCAAAACCAGTGTATGGAAAGGATGAAAAGAGAGAAGATTTTGTGTTTCTAGGTCATGATGATTGTGTTGAAACCAGTTTGTCAATGGGGTTGAATTTGAATGTTTTTGAAAATCAACCATCTGGGTTTGGTGGTGATCATCATGAGGTGATGACTTGTAAGAGACATAAGACCAGGGGGTCATTGGAGGATTTGGATCTTGAGCTCAGGCTTGGTGATCCACCAAAGGTGAAGTAAAGCTCTTGGATGACAACATTATTGGTAGACATCTTAGGGGAGAAAAAAAAAAAAATTATTTTACTGTTCTTTAATTTCTTTCTTGTCCTTTTGATCTTACTAAAAGCTGACATAGTATTGTTTTTTTTTGATACATTTTGGGTTTGTTTAATGCATCATGAAAAACATGGTAATAGTTGGGTTTTATTACTGTCTTCCTCTTTGGCTTGTGACTTGTTTTTTTTTTTGATCGGCAAATAAATCTTTATTGATGAAACATACAGTATGTTTTTTTTTATTGTGACTTGTGATTGTTAGAGATGAGTGATATTTAAGCACTCTTATCTCTATCTCTATCAATTTATAAAATTGTGTATTTCTATTGTTCTTCCATTTTATATTTTTACATGTCATAAAGTTTTAGGTTGTTTCCATTCCTTCAATTGATATAATAGGACTTTGTTCCAGAAAATTTTTTCACATTTGAAACTCAGATAAAATATAACAAGATCTATCTAAGTTACCTCGATGTTGTCCAATCTATTAAAAAAAAAAAGGTTACCTTGATGTGCACTACTAGCACAATGCTTACCTATTCGAAAGAACAAAAATACTCGTAAAAGTGTTAAAATTTTGAAATGTGTGATTAATCAGATTAATTTTTAGAATGACTCATCTAAAACTTAAATTCAATTTATAATATATTTTTTAAAATTATTTTTGTATGACATTTCTAGTATTTCAAGATGTTAACACCATCATAGGTGAGGATACAAGTTTGTTCAATCAGCCAAGTACAGTTTTTTTTTTGATCGGCAAAAGAAAACTTTATTGATGGGAAAGCAAAATACAAGCAAAAATACATCAACAAAGCAGGGAAGTGCACTGAGTATCAAAGCTACCCTCTACAATCCCAACTAGGTTGGCACCGCAAAGGAAGCAAAATCATTTGCTAGCACTTGACCCAAGATTGGTGAGAAACCAATCAAGCAAACAACAAAAGAGAAAGAACAAAAAGAACGGAAAAAAAGCTCCCTCTTCAAACAATAACACAGAATCACACTATGGTCATCCTAACCACTTCATGCCATTACTTCCAATTGTTGGCTGCTTAGGTGGACTGAAGAAAAAACACTAACACTCAAAACCCACAGCTGCTCAATGCCCCAAGCACAACAGCATAACAACACTTCAGCACCTACCTAGAGCCAGGCTGATAGCAACATCACAGCATTTACAGCCATACAGATCAGCCTCAGACTGGGGAATTAGATGGCACCATACACCAATAGAATTCACCAACTTGCAACTTTGACAGTCTGTTTGGCTGCAAATCAAAACTTGAACACAATGGCAAAAAACATTCATCTTTGTCATGCTGTGGCATTATTTCAGAAATTTGAGAACCTTTTCTTTTGTCGGCAATGAAGGAATCGCTCCTTTCTCCATCACTGTGAGAGCACCACAGCCATTCGCAAAGACAAGAGCTTCCCTTAATTTCTCTTCCTCCTTGTACAAAGTAGGGTCTGAAGCCAAACTATTCAGTAATCCAGCAACAAAAGCATCACCTGCACCTGTTGTGTCAACTGCATCAACTTTGTGACTATCAACCCTATCCTTAGATTCCTTAGTGTAGTATCTGCAGCCCCCTCCATTAGTCCATAGTCCTTCCACGCTATCACATAAAGAAGCCATAAGCAGAACCACAGCAAACCACTTGCAGCTCCTCACAACCATCATGAACAAAAGGGTGAGAATCCTACAGCATAACAGCCAAGTTAACCCTGGTTTAGTAGTTATCAATCAATAGCAAAAGCAACAGCAATCAAGAGCAGCCCAGAGCAGATAAACCAGCCTTCCCAAACAGCATACATATCAGCACAGAGCACCTGTTCTCACAACCATCATGAACAAAAGGGTGAGGATCCAAAACCACCCTGGGGGAGGGTGGTCCCCGGCCCCGCCCCGGCCCGTTGCCATTCCTAGTTGTTGGGTTGCCAAAAGACAGAATGATATTTTAAGAAGTTGATAAAAAATTGATTTTTAATTTTTTTAATCAAAAAAATTAACTGTTTTAGTAGTAATTTGAATAAAAAAATTAATTTTTGGATTAAAAAAAATTAAAAACTAAGGTAGCGTTTGGTAGAGTTTTGTAAATGTGATTTGAGAGTATGAGTTGTATTTTGAGTTTGTGTGTTGTGGAGTTATGATTTGAGTGTAGAAAATTTGTTTGGTAAAGAGTTTTGAAAATAGTTTTGGAAAAGAGGTTTGATTTGAGTGGGGAATTATTGATGTGACATTTGATATGTGATACAAAAATTTACAACTCATAACTAAACATACAATTCAAAATTATTTTAAAGCACA